CAATATCAGTTTTTGCATTTAATTTTAAAGTGTTGTTGAAATTCATAAATTATAATAAAATCATGGATGTCACATCTTTGTTATCTTAACCTAGAATTGGGCACATCTTTAAGTCAAGTCCATGAAATGACATGAGTTTTTAGAATTCGGGGATCTAATTGATCACAGTATGTGGTGTTAAGGATGGTTACAGAATATCTCGCAAAATTTAAATCCATGAAAAACACTTCATTCACATGATTTGCATGGACATTAATAAATATCAGCTCTGAGTTTCTGTTGCAAGATTACTTAAATATTAAGATGCTTTAAATGCAAATGTTTTCCCCTTTAATCTCTTTTTGATGCTCTTCCGGAACATGAACATATTTGGAGATCATCTTAGCCATCTCAAAAAAGTTCTCTTTATTGAATAAAGATCCATCTTCCTTGTGGCCAGAGAATGTCAGATTCGAGTGGCAAGAAACATATCAAAGAAACCTGTGGAAGAAGTTCCTTTAATTTTTTCGTTATATCCATAATATCATTTTTTGTAGTAGCTAAAGAAATTCTGCAAATATTTTCAAGTTTCAAAGGCAATGTGTTATCAATGTCCCTAGATTAATTACTTTTGGACACAGTAACCATGTATGTGTATTGTCATGATTGCACTAGGCCTATATTTAAGGGAAAGCCATTTGTGATTTTCTCCCCACCTCCCTCTCACCTTTTATTCTCTTTTTTTTTCTTCTGACTTCTTGTCCCATTTATTTGCTTCAGATAGGCTAAAAATAATTATTTTGAAGTAAAAAAAAATATTTGTGAAAACCAAAATAAGATCTCTAATTTCATAGATTTACTTGACCCCCAAGCAGAGTTAATTTCATGGACGCATTTGCCCACAATATCAACATTTTTTACTAGGAGCAGCAATCAATCTTAATACCAGTTACAGATCTCTTTGGTGGTAGTAAGTGGCAGCCTGCTCTGCTGAAACCCAGTTCTTGTGGCAAGCTCCAATGCTAGATCGACCCTACTTATAGTTTTGAAAATAGTAGCAGTAGGCCTACTTATAAAGATCATGAGCTATTTCATGATTGACAGTAAATATAACATGTTAAAAATGTTCTATTTAGTTGAACGATTTTGTTTAAAAAATCAATTAGTCCATCGTCATAAGCTTATATTATTTGTTTTTAATATTAAATAAATAAAATATAGAAGCTCAAAAGAAGCATGAAGAAAGTTGAGGGTGGTTGGCAAAAATATATAAGAAACTTTAACTTAAATCTTAAGAGACAGACAAACAGCAAAGTGGTAGATAATAAAAACATTAAATGGCAACAATTTGTGTATGGTATCGACTCGGCGTCAGAAGTTGAATGCAGTTCTACTCCATCGTCAAAACAGGACACTATTAATGGCAACATAGATATGCCTAAACCTGAAACCTCCATGTCCATATAGGCCTATGTATCAATGAAGATAGATAATATTAATCAGCCTTTTAAAAACATGCCACATACGCCCAGGGCAAACTCAAAAAAAGTGGTGAACAACCTAACACAAACATAATTTACACATTGTTACACCCCCCCCCCCCACCCCCCCCCTTTTCGCAAGCCGTAGCTTTGACACTGCGTTTAGGATGTGCCCTTTGCAGAATGTCATAAACTACCGAATATTGATAGAGTGTTGTCTTCTGCGGAAATTTTTTTGTAATTTGTATTAGCCATTGCTCAATTTTTGGACTATGTTTAAAGACTTCAAAGTGTATAATTGGGAAGTCCATTTAATGCCTTTGCAAATATATTTCAAAGGATAGAAAAATATACTTGGTGCATACTGTTAAAGTGTGTCATTTTCGCAAGATAAAACCTTAGAGTGCTGGGGATAACTATTATCAACCATTTTTTCCCCACCCATAAATGACGTCACGCAAATTATACCAAATTTTTACATCATCCCCCCCCCCAATATCGTCTCAAAAATTTAGACCCGCCCCCCCTCAATATAAGGTCACAAATCTCCACACCCCACCCCATGGGCGCCCGCAGAAAACTTTCTAGTGGGGGGGGGGGCAAAAAAATCGAGTAACTTTCAAGGGGGGGGGGGGATTTTTGGCAATAGGGGGGGGGGGCATTTTTAGCAATGTTTTAATGTAGTTTTAATTTACTGTAGCGTATTTGTATGGTGAACGAACGGACAGGACATCAGCTTGGTTACTTTCTCTTTATTTTCTCTTTACTTTAATACATTTTTTGTCTATTTTTGTCTACAATTTTTTTATCCAAATCAATCCAGGGGGGGGGGGCAAGTGCCCCACCTTGCCCCTACCTCCGGGTGCCCATGCCCCACCCCCATTTAAAAATTCCTTTTGTCCATTACTGTCCTTTACAAACCCTTAAACTTAAGAAATTCAACTCCAATTGATATCGAATTGCTGCACCTGTGTCAGAAAAAATTCATGAGAACAGTGGTTCTTAACCAGGGGCAAAAGTACCTCCCCGGAAGACCAGGAAATTGTAATTTCTGCCATTGCTAGTTATTGCAGACTTTAAAAAAAAATCAATTTTTATGCATTTTGATTTGCAGCAGTAAATTTTTTCTGGTGAAATTTGTTTGCGCTTTTCTTGTTGTGTTGGGTAATTTTGTTCCTTGTTTATACAAAAAATAATAAAATGAAATAAAACTACGATAACTAAATTATTTATTTATTTTCCTATTTTAAATTTATTACAATATAATTTATACGTTTGGGGGAGGGGTACTTAAAACGGAGAGGGTCTGCAGCGCTGCAAATAGTTTAAGATTCCTTGCCCTAGAGCAGGGTGCCACCCAACTTTTTTTCACTGCGGGCCGGATAGCGGGCAAAATGACGAGAGCGGGCCGTATAATCATTCTGTACAATACTTGCAAGCCAGAACTAAAGCTCTGATAAATGACACGCACTTTTTATCCCTGAAAATAGGGGGCAAATTATGTGTGCGTGTTATACGCTGTTATAATGTTAAGGACCCATAGTCAGGGCTACCACACCTTGGGAAATTTCCCAAGATCTTGGGAATTCACGACCCCCCTTGGGATCTGGGGAATAATTTTAAAAATCAGGCAAAACCTTGGGAAATCTTAACTGGCGGGGAAATTTTATCATATTTTTCGAAAAACGCAACAATATCTGATAAAAATTAAAGTGAAAATAAAGCAAAATAATTATTAAAATAACAAGGCAAAAAATTAATTGTTTTAATTTTCTTCTCTGGTTTTAATTTTTTAAATCCACTCATAAAATAAATAAAAACTCTGATATTAAAGTTAAAATTGTGAATTATTAAAAAGTTAATAATTTTTTAAAAATTCAATTTTCAATTTTTTTTTTTTTTAAATTGAAGATTTACAAATCACATCCATGTTTTGAATGTTTATTAAATGGGGAAGTGGGGGTAGGCTCGGAAACTTTATCATTATGCTCTTAGACATTAGCAACCATACGAAAACAGTACAAGCCAAAGAGTGAACGATAGTGTTCAATCAAGAATCCATGCCATAGTAAAATTTGATTATTTCAATTACTTCTGCAATGTGTTCAAAATATAATGCATCTGTAAAAAATCAATTAGAAAAAATATTAGTGGATTGAAACACAGGTTAACTAAGATATTAAAAGTATATGCCTTGTAGGATTATAAATGAACAATTCCTTTAAAGGTT